ATGATAAGGTTATCAGTCGGCCTCCACAGCTCAGTTCACTCTGGAAGAGTCTGCTGCCCACAGATTTCACCCCTCCTTTCCTCCCACTCATTCTGACTTCTCACTCAGCACATCCCTTCTCCTGTCAACTCATCTCAGCAGCTGGCGGTTTATCAGCTGTAAAGGAAATCTGTATTTATGGTCATATTTGGATGTGTTATGTGAACTTCAGGCCACTCCTACAAAAGCCCAATCATTTTCTGTATGTAAAGCACAAGATTAGTATCAGTGATTTCTTTTACTGCTCTCTAGTTCATTTAAAAAGTGTCTTTTGCATGTTTTCTAGATGCTTATTAATGCTGAAAAGACCCTAAAAGAAATCAATGACCTGCTGTGACCTTCTGTCAAATGTTGCATGACCAGGTAAAGATATGAAGGAATTTATTTCCCTGTGTTATTTGATTTAATCAATCTTTTTGTGATTTTGTGTGCCCAGTGATTAATGGTTAATTTAGTAGCTATTAGCACATTTCAGTGAAATCAAACTTTCAATCCCCCTAGTGAGTTGCCCAATATTCCCCAGAGTTTTATAGCATAAATAGGGAAGATCCCATACTCACAGAGGCCTGTGAGCTCCATCTGTGTACAGGGCATAATGCAAATCTCTGTGTTTGCTTTATACAAGAGGCCATTGTGACAACTCGTTCACATATTAGTTTTCCATTTCAGGCACGGGGAAAGAGTTAGAATTAGGGTTTGCTCTAAAAACATGGGATAATATTTAACATTTAACAACAGGAAGCTTAATGTCTGTGAGGGCCCTGAGACAAAGACAGATTCTCTCTCCTAGTGGCTGAAAATGTAACACTATTCCTGGCAATGATCAAATATTCCAGCAATCAGTGTTTTCACATCATCACTATGTTAAAATTCAAACTTTCTGCTCTTTCATTTGATGTATATATGTATATGTATTCATAGAACAAAAATATGGTCACTGGTAAGTTCGACACAGCACTCAGGCAAGGCCAGTGTGCTTCATCATCTAGAATATGTGCAGGAGCCTACTGTAGTGATTCATTAGTGTTTCTTACAGTACCACAGCAGGCTTCATCCTCTGGGGACTATGCCTGCAATATTCCTAGAAACTGACGAAAAATTGGAGATAAAACCTGAACCTGTAGGATCTCATGGTGAGGTCATTAGATGGCTCTGCTGTGTTTCTTAAACTACTTTTTCTGGTATGGTTTAGTCCTACTTGTTGAACTACAAATCAAGTAGTTATGAATGATCACTTTATCCTCTGATAAAATGCTTCTATACAGATGGCAATGCTTTTTTCCAGCATATAATGTTCCTTCCAAGGACCATAAGAGCCTCTGAAAGGCTTGAAAAGTCACCAGTTCTCAACCCAGTTGAACTGCTAGGAAAATATTTTGGACCAAACTTTAAAGAGCTCTCAGTCACCATCATCAGAACAACAAGTGGGAAAATATCACTATTGAAGAAGATAGATTCAAGAGACTTTAAGACCCTTATCAGCCACGGCTAAACACCTTATATAGAGATGTTTTTTTATTTATTTGTTTGAATTTTTTGTTTTTATTTGTGACGTGAAAGACCAACAGACTGGCCCACAGCATTAGACTAAAATAACATTAAGCTGTATCGTCTTGATGAATTCTCAATCATCCAGGTAAATAAATCTCCAAAGGTTGAATCTGCTCATGAAGAAGTCACTTGGATGAGTGATGAAACATTTCTCCCACTGAAAACGCTACGTCCAGATGAACAGAATCAACCTTTGGAGATTAAGCTGTATCTGCTTTTAAAATCATCTCAAGATCTCCTACTGGAAAATAAGCCATGATTAATTACTAACCAATGTGACTTGTTTTGTAGAAAGAACCTTGTTTTGGCAGGAAACAGTATAAATATAAAATATAACTACATGGCTAACATCCAAGACTGCTGGCCAACCAGGACATCCCAGCAAGTATTAACACTTATCATTGCTTACAATTTTGTTTTAATTATGGTGGAAAGACAACACAGTGGAAGAATCTTCCACATCAAAATAATATTTTATTACCTGCCTGTACTTAAAAAGATCAGTTAAGGAGCTGAAGAGCCAATAAAGGTTACAATTCCTAAACTAAACGAAAATATTGCAGTGCTGAAGCTCTCCTAATAATTATTGACAGTCTGGATGCAACTTGAATGCAACATGTTGTTTCTGCCTCTAAAAAAGACGAAAAGCTCCCTCAAACATGCCAATCTGTTTTTTTGTTTTTCTCATGAGTCTTGTGGAACATTTTGTAGGTGTGTCCGTTTCTACACGTCATCCCTGCACTTATCTAGAGGAAGGCAGGACCACAACACTGTGCCACTGGCAATCAAATAGCATCACACCCCGACGTTGTGTGACAGCAGTGGTTGTGATCGGTGGAGGCATCTGCCCCCAGTCCAGTCTTACAGAGGAAATCTGCTGACAGTTTGTTTTGTATTTGGTTTTTTCTGTTTGCCGATGATGGATCGTTGGCATGTCACACAAGCCTGACTCCACAGAGACAACAAACGTCTAGCTTCCTTGTGTTTTTTTAAATATATTTTATGGCTTGTATTTTAGCACTTGCAGGCTATATATATTTTACACCTCCGAGTTATTTATGAACTTTTTTTGAGTGCATAGTAATACATTCATGGTTATTATATTTTAATGCTTTACACCACATTGGCTGTCACACGTTATGTCCTGTAGTAGACACAACCTTAACAGGCATAATTGAATAGTACAGTCATGATGGTGAGAGATCTGGTGTCATTAAACTGAAACTAATAAAACCACTCTTGTTCAGGGTATTTTCGGCATGATCTTATGAAGAACAACGAGCTAAAAAGGCAGGAAAGCTATCTTCTTAAATATTAAATTGTTACACTAAATCTGTGAGACAAGTCATTTCAATCCTAAATCTGTCAATCACCAGGAATGTCAAATAAAAAGAGGAACAGGGACATCCGTCAGCCATAAAGCTTAAAAAAGAAAAAAGGGAAAAAAAGTCTATCCCTTGTTTCTGGGATCAACTGTCACAGCCAGAGCAAGCTGGAGATGTGTCTTGTGGCACAAGTTTTGTTTGGTTACTGGTATATTACACCAGTAATGACTGAGAGACCTGTGACATTCCTTTGATCTTACAGGGAAAGACACACCACTAGGGGAACTCCCGCTCTGTCTTCCATGAATATGTCATTGATGCCTCAGGCCTTCATCCTGCAGAGTTTCCAATGTACTGGCTGAGACTCATTTGCATAGATCAAATTTGCAAGACAAATTCAGCGCTGTGCTCTATCACCTCGCCTGTTGCTTGTGTCTGTGAGATAGAGACACACTCAGTACCTGCGTGTGGATTAGGGTGTGTTGTTCATAACACAAAGAGCTTATGTTTTAGTCTTGATTTTCTTTTTAAATTTGTTGGTTTGGATATTTGCTGGATGGATCAGATTTGGCAGATAACTGTGGCTGCCAGTGCTGAGACTGTTTCTGGTGTATGATTCTGACATTTGACACCACCGGTCAGACAGAAACTTGAAGCCATTTTACAGACATCTGAGACACATCAAACAAGTACACTCAAAATATTTCACTGTCCTGCACTCCATGCAAACGTGCAGGGATTTTGCATATCTTTACATACAGTTTCTAAAAAATGTTGTTTTGGGAGAGTATTTCTGACTGTTTCCTGTTTAGTAGATTTACAACTTTGAGGATACAGCACCTCAGGCAACAAGATATACAAATTAACTGTGGCTCCCACTTTGGTCACACACAACTTTAACACAGCTGCTATGTCTGGCAATTGTGTTAGAAAATCAAAATTACTCCCCTTAATTAAGGTTTTGTATGCCTCTGCTTCCATGTGGGATTGTTGCAGACACATGCAGGCATGCATGCTACCTTCATGTTCTCTGGTTTTCCCCCAGGCTTCCCCAGGCAGCACCACCCCTCCTCTTTCAGGACCCATGTCCTGTTTGCTTGGTTCCACCCAAGATGATCCTCTCCTTCCCTTTCTGTTGGTTTACCTGGGCAGGATTTTGATTTGCTCAGTCTCCTCACACCCACAAGCTGCAGAACCAGTAAGTCTAACTGTTGCAGAGGATAACAACAGACCCTACTGTAATATCAACAAATTTTGCATAGAGACCTCAGATTTGTTTGCCTGACAGTAAGCCCTCATGTTTCTACTCGTCCCTTCACAAACACTGATTTCTGCACCACTAACACAACTGAATACACACTTGCTCTTGAATTTATAATGTACGTTTTTATACTTTTTGTATATCTATTTATCTACAAGCCATCTAGTTCTTTAACTGTACAGTGGAGAGCTGCTGTATGTGGGCCACTGAGGTTGGTAAACTCAGACGTACATACAATAACAAAATATGTAATGCGCAACATTTTTAACATCAATGAAAATTGGAGAACAGATGTGAATTGTTGCAGTTTTGCATAGTGGAAAAACTGTAAGACTGGAGTCTTGTAGCGTGCCAGCTGTTCATTTTTTCACAGTCTTTTAGGCCCATGCATTGTGGATATAGATGCATGCATTGAACAACAGAAACTATTCGTTCTAATATACCAGTAACGATCCACTTACCTGAAAAACTGATATCATCATATTTACATCACAGCGTGGCAGGGAAGGTGGCGGTGGGTGGGAGCTTCAACTTTGGGTTCACTTTAAATGTTCACAGTGCTTCTTTAAGTTCTTGTCAGATTTAAACAGAGCAGGTGAAGATCTGATTTGCATTTAGCAGCTTAAACCTAACAGGTTAGGTGTTTGTGGAGGGCGGTGTGTCTTCGTTAGAATCGCCATTTGTTTGTTGAAGTAAATCCAACAGGCTGCCTGGGTGTGGTTAGAGCTGAGTAAGTAATCGGTACCTTTTCAACAACCTTTTATTAATCCCTGTATCCCATTAGGCTGAATGCACTGCAAAGGCCATTTAAAGGTGTGTAGGGAAAACATACAGTATGGCGGGGCAGACGGTTTGTGTTATTCTGATTTTTACTGAGATTACAGAGCTCCTTTTTGCTCTTGAACATAAAAACTGGACGATGTATTTGCTTCTAACTTTCCTTTAGCTGCTTTCTAGTCGACTCTCTGGAACGAATGGCTCCCTGCGCTTGGATTTGCATAATGTTCTGGGTGTTATTTGAATGCAGGATAACTCCACTACACACTATATCTAGTCTTGCGAGAGATTTCCACCTGGGGCCTGAGTCACAGTTTCATCCTGAATGTGTTTCTAACTATGAAAAGCAGAATAAACCAGTCAGGAAGGGAAAGTCTGTTTACAATGTTCATCACACTATGTGTGTATTTTACCGTGGGGTGACAAAGGACCAAGTATTATATTTTGCCTCATTCAAAAACAACAACCACAGACATTTGAGATTGCTTCAATATTTATTGGACTCTAAGCAATGGAACATTGTAACACTGCAACAACACAATGAAAAGTGCATCAGAATAAACATTCATTCATATCTTGAAAGATTTCTTTCAATGTAACTTACATAGTGCCTTTTAACCTTAACTGGGTTCTACTGAGCACTTCATAATGTGTTTCTCATGTGCCCATTCACAGTCACACACAGCTGCCGTGCAAGATGTTTGTAGGCCAAGAGGATCTTCCCCAAGGACACCTCAGCATTTGAAGGGGTCAAAGGCTGAGCCCTCAACCTTGTGATATGTTAAGAAAATGCTTTACCAGTTGAGCTACAGCTTCCCCCAGAATCAGCATATTGTTAAATATTATTTATCACACAGGTTAAAAAACAACAACAACAACAAGAAAGAAAACACTTCCTCTTCAGTTTATGCCATGCTGGCTCTCGTGGTGCCTGCGCAGATCAACCTTGCGTTGGAAGCCCTTTGAACAAATGTCACACCCGAAGGGCTTAAATCCTGTGTGTTTCCGGCTGTGTGTGATCAGGTTGGAGCTTTGGCTGAAAGCTTTGCCACAAACTTGGCATTTGTGAGGTTTTTCACCTACAAAAAGAAAATGAAACACACAGAAGAACACATGCCGTAAGAAATCTACACCAGGGATATCAAACTCATTTTACATCATGGGCCACATACAGCCAGCTTTCATCTTATGTGGATTGGACCAGTGAAACTCCCCTTTCTGTCAGTTTAAATGGCATTTTACAGGAGAAAAAGAAGCACAATGTCCACAATGCATCTCAGTTTTTCTACATGAGAAAGTAATACTGCTGGAGTGAATGACGGAAATCTGTCAGTACAATTAAGTAGCTCACTCCCCACAACTCCCCAAATCCAAAATGTATGCCCTTATACATATTTCCCAAACCTGTCAAGTGGGCCAGACTGGAGTCTTTGCCAGGCCAACTCTGGCCCCTGGGCCTTAAGCTTGACACCCCTGATCTGCACAATCAAAACTTGGACAATTTTCAAGTGATTTGTATAAAACTGTTATAGTTTTCTTTTCACCGCTTCGGTAAAATCAGGTTTTCCAACATTACCAAAAATGGTGCCAAGCGTTTTCGTCATACAGATAACGTTTTTCATTAAAACCATGAGAGAAGAATCAGGCCATTGTTCAGATTTGTCAGAGACATACTCGCAACAAATATAAACTAAAGTTCCTTTTACAGAGCTCTGTGAAGAGGAAACCCAGATATGCAAATCAACAGGATATTTGTTTAAGCTTCTTTTTCTGATTTATCAGCAGTTATATTACTCCTAGAAATAGTCCCTACATGCTTGACCTGGAAAGCAGGTGATTGCTGAAGATGGATCATATGCAGGGTCACACTGATGGTCACAAACTGTGAGAATGTTAAGACATTTACCAGTGTGTATGTAGGTGTGCTTTTTCATATCAGATTTCTGATGAAATCTCTTGCCACAGTACTGGCAGGGGTAAGGCCTGGTGTCGGAGTGGATAAGCAGGTGTGTCGAGAGCGTGGATGAACGCTTGAAGGATTTGCCGCACATCTTGCACTCGAAACTTTTTTCCTGATCAAGGACAAAGACAAAAAAAGTGAGGCACAATAATCAGTTAGTGAATAAATGTCAGAAAAGAAATTGTCTTTAAAAGTTCATTCCAATAATTTTAGTAGATTTTTGGGATCTTTTGATGGGAAAAATTGTAATAAAGGAAATGTATATGTTCACATTTCCTTCATTGTTTCTACTTTAAATGATCAAGAGCATTTTACGAATAGGAACTATAGTTGTGTTCACTAAATGTAAGCATGAATCTTGAAAGCTGTCAGCATATCAGAAAGTAGAGTAAAAAACTGAAGCCTAATCCACACTAAAAATTTAAAGGCCAAGATGTGTTGTCGTCTGCATATTCAGGTCCCTAAACTCTTTAAACACTGAAATAATTCCTGCTTCGTCAGTATACCTGAGAGTGGACGTTCATGTGCTGCTCCAGGCTGACAGCATGACCAAATGTTTTTCTGCAGATGCTGCAGCCAAACGGCCTCATTCCACTGTGAGACCTTCTGACATGAACCTCCAGTCCATGGGAAGTTGAAAATACCTAGAACACAGTTTGCCCATAATTGCACTCATCAGTGGAGTCAAAGTGACAAAGTGAAAGCCGTGAAATATGTCTGCACCTGACATAACAGCTTCGCGAGCTGCACAACCAGTTTTAAGCCTTTGATCTTGGCCTAAGCTGCGGTACCTACCTTGTCACAGGTGATACAGTGATAGGTGTTCGAAGAAGGCGAGTAGTGAGTGCTGCAGTCTAGAGGCTGCTGAGGCTGAGGACTACGGTTGATGTTGGTGCTGTACAGGTTACTGGCATGCTGCAGCACTGTGGGGCTGAAACTCATCTGACGGAGCTTGTAGGAAGGAGACAATGTCTCCCAGGCATAAGGTTGGAAGTCAGCCAAGTGAGGCTCTAAAGGGCGCACACATAAGAGACAAAAAAAAAGCATATCTTATCTTTGTTATAGATGCCTTTTTAAAAAGTTTGCATCAGGGGTGTTTTTCTAGTAGCACAATTTTTTCAGTGTGATGGTACAGGGTTTATGAAGACTGAGCTGGGGTTCATTGGAAATAGTTTAAAAAGGCTTGAAAATTGTTTGAAATTCAGCGAGTTCTAATGATTTTAACTGTGAATAGACCAATAGTCTCTAAAAGCATGCATCAGATGACATGGCTGCCACGTAACAACAGTACACATATGTTGGATTCTTTTAGGTAGCAGAAGTTAAAAAGCTTTAGCTAACCTAAAATTCAACTAATTAGAAAATAGTTGGCAGTGAAGCAAACCACTGTAAGACATGAAAGGGCCAATCCAGCCTAAAAATATATTGCTTTATATCTGTTAAATCACACCCATGTCATTTTTTTCTCAATCTCGTAGATGTAAGCATAAGGCTATAATTCTATTTCAGCATGAAAGCATGAAATATTTCTGTTTTTCCTTATAGTATTTTTCTTGAAAACAAAAAGGATCCTGTACATTAAAGATGTACATATCTGTTTCTTATTTGGATAAGATGTAATGCAAAATTGAGTGGAATGCCAGTGCAAACAGAAACTTCTACACATGAAAAACAAAGCCACGGTGGAAGTGCTGGATACCTCCTAGCATGAAAAACATGTTTAACAACTGATATTAAAACTATATGCTGACAATGGAGCTGAATATTTTTACAGTGCATTCACCTATATACTGGGGTTAACTGGACTGCTGTCCTGACACACAGACAGCTTTTGTGATGTTAGTGCTTTTTCATGCTCATTAATGGAACAATTTTCTTTTTCTTTTTCTTTTTCTTTTTTTTTTTTTAAAAAAAAACACTTTTATTTATCCCTTAAGAGTAAATCTTTTTCAGAGTAGACTTGGCCAAGACTGCACACCATTACAATGTTACAAAATAAAAATCAAATTACCTCAAAACACATCAAACAAAATATTATGTCAGAGTCAAAATAATACAAAAACAAGGTCCAGCTTATGAATAGCAGTTACACTCTTCAGTTACAGCAGTCTGATTAATAATCTGATTGATAACCATGTGGTACAGACCAAAGAGTTTGTACTTCAGGTTTTGTGAGTGAAATTAGTGTTTTGTTAGTTAGCTACTCAGTCTAAGGGAATAACCTTTAACCCCTTTTCAACCTGAATATGCAAATCTTTAATAAAGAAATAAATATATAAAACTGTGGTCAAAATGCCAACTTTGAAGCTTTAAAATGCTTTCCAAAACTAATGGGCCACGTCTACTTCCACCTCTGATATGCAGTCTCTATTCCAGCCTAGTCTTTTGACTTCCAGATGGCAAGTTTTTAAACTTACCTGGCAGGTAGTACGGCTGTGTCTGAGTCATGAGAGGTCTGCTTGGCTCTGGGTGAAGCGGTAAGGGACATTCAAGCTCCGGTTCCTCCTTAGTAAGTAAGCGGGGGGCTTCAGGGGAAGATTGCCCCTCTGACTTAGGCCTGTCTGAAATGTCTGTGGTCTGAACGGCTGCTGGGATTTCTGCAAATCCAAAGCAAAGTGAAGTTCGGTTGATTAGAGAGAAAGTACATCTAAATTAATATCTTCTTTTGTTCAATTAGGTATTTTATTTAATAAGAAAAAGCAACAAATAACATCAGAAGTTTTTTTTTTAAATTTTTAATTTTAATTTGCAAAACAAATAAAAATTTGTTTAAGACGGCAAGGAGATTTGGGGTTGCGATAAAAATTAGTTACATCCCGCAGCAGTAATTTCATTTAATTATTTTAATAGGGCCCCGTTCTCCACCTATTCAGATCAACTCACTTCTTTTTTTAAAGACTTACCAGATGTTGCGGAGGCCTCCGAGTCATCTTCATCGAAATTTTTTTGCCTGTAGGAAGTGAACTTTTTGCTTCTTACCATAAACGACAGAGGCATGGTGATCCTAGACCGGAAAAGTATAATAATTAAAAATAAATTTTTTTAAAAAAGGTGATGCTTTTACGTCAACGTCAAGAGTGTAACAATAAATAAATACACTTAAACTCCCGGAAATTCTCCTCTTATTTGAATTTTAATGATCTCAAAGCTTCACATGAAATGATTTCAGTGCGTCTAATTATTTCATACCGTTAAAAATCCGCGAAGATTAGGAAAAAAGAAAAAGAAAAAGTCCTCCTGCTGATTTTGTAGCTCCTCGCAGCTTCTAGAGACGAAAACAAACGCAAACGGGGAGAAAAATAACCCAGTTAATATTTCCTTTTTTCCTGGAAGAAAAACAAGTTTCAGAGGAGAGATGCGTGGATTCCAAAAGTCTTTGAAAAGCAGTGTAAACCTATCAGGTTTATACCTCCTGCTCATCCCCCCTCCCTGATTTTCAATCTCGCAGCGGAATCTGACTGTGGTTTTAGCCAATGAAAAGGCCAAACGGCAGGTGGAAATTTGCTTAGAAAAACACAGGGCCTTAGGAACAGTTATACAAAGCACACAGTACTCACAGGACCAAAAACAACAAAAAAATGCCGGAACTAAAGGTAAAATATATGTGCAGTAGGTTTACAGGCAAAAGACCAATATAGTGATATGCTCGGCGAATTATTATTTGTTTCTTTTTTTTAAAAGGCTTTTAGACTTCGACCGTCACCAGCAAAGCAAAACCAAATTCAGCTAAATAAAAAAAGCTTAAAATAATAAATATAAACTGGAATTTGAAATTACAAAACTAATTAATTTAATAAATAAACATTTTCATCGCTCCGTGTTTGATTTACAGGATTTAATTGCAGTAAAGATGTATGATTGCGTGCAAGATTTAAACGGCTAAAAGATCCTATGAGATTGTAGGACCTCCAAAGATACACACACCAAACCAGTCCGGAGATTAACCGTGTTGACTCTTTTTGTGTACTTTTATCGAAGCTTGTCTTTATTCGTGTATGACAGATTTCCCGGCAGTCTGTTTTAGATTCACACAAGAGGAGGTCCGAATGACAGGAGACCTATAATGTGAGAGGTCTGGGCTTTTCTGGTTGAAATGAAAATATCAGTTTATTAAATCGCATAACTGTCGTCAGATTAACGGAAGGAGGGAGAAAACGTTTTGTGGAGAAGGGCGAGAAATGCGAGCGCGCCATCTTGTGGATAACGTGTGCATTTTCAATGAGGATCATATATTTTTATTCGGACGTTAATTCGGATGTTAAACAGATTAAATTGAACATTTATTTTTGAATGTGTAAGTTTTTCTGATTACATTTTGTTGTGTGTATTGTGTGTGTTGTTATATCATTTTATTCAATTTAATACATCAGTAAAACATTTGGAGTAGACTTCATTGTACAAAACAAACTCAATAATAATAATAACAATAATAATAGAAGTATGAAAATCTCACAAACCTGCATTTTATTCACAACAGAACATAGAAAATGTATAAATGTTTTAAAGAAAAATTTATTTTTGCAATTGATGGCATCAACACCTCTCAAAAAAGTTAGGACAGCGGCATGTTTACCACTGTGAAGCATCCCCTCTTCATCTAAAAACAGTCCGTTAACATCTGAGAACTGAGGAGACCAATTCATACACATCTTCTAGATTCTAGAAACCTATCTGCTCAGCAATGCAAATATTTTCAATCAGTGGTCTGCAGTGCTGGCAGGCCAGTTCAGCACCCAGACTCTGCTGCTATGAATTCTGTGCCGTTAGAATAGATGCAGTATGTGCTTTAATATTATCTTCTTTAAATATACAGGTCCTTCCCTACAAAATTGCTGTTCTAGCAACATTTGTTGCTCTAAAACATTTCTGTACCTTTCACTGTTGATTCATTTCCAGACTAACTACTGTATTTTAAATCTGGCTGATGCCAAGCATGTCCAAGAGATTTCTCCAGATTTTCTTATTCTTTATTATTTACGGTGTCTTATATGCTGTGCTGTAGATAGTCAAAGTCTTCCCAGCTGTTCCACAATTTGTACATGTGTTTTTTTTGTTTTTTGTTTTGGTGAATGTCTGTCCATCTTTACTTCTGAGAAAGTTTGTATCCAGTCAAGTCTCAGATCTGCTGCCAGATCTCTTTTTTTTCTGGCCTTTTGTTGCCCTGTCCCAACTTCTTTTTGAAAGATATTGCTGCCATAAAGTTCAGAACATTAAAATATATTTTCATGAAATAACATTTAATATGATTTCAGTGTTCTGATATAAATAAAATATGGGTGTATGAGATTTGCATTCTGTTTATTCACATTTACATAGCATCACAGTTTTTTTGGAACTGGTGTTGTACACACTGCATACTATAGATACAAACATCCGATCACCTTCTGCACTACATCACTCCCAGTCACAGGACAGATTAATAAATAATGAAGAAATGAAGAAATGCAAAGATTTTTACAGTGATGGTAATAAACATTAACCATCATGCCCTGACTGGGTAGTTTTAGTCTACTCAGTCATGTCATTCCAGCAGTGACATTTCATTTGCTGTTATGTAAAAATGACTGAGTTATGAATGAGTTAACCTGTTACAATATGTGAGGCAGATAGTGTGGATTCTTTATGTATTATTCTTTTATAACTGAACATACACACAATGGACAAAAACAAACAAATGGCCTACTGTACCCTCATACACACAATAATAACATGGACTGAACCACCACCTACAACTACTGGCACTTTATATAACTACTGTATAATTTATCCACATATCTCACTGATTTCAACTGCACTACTGTAAATGCTGTATAGACAATCAATTATACTGTACAAGACAATATTTATAGTTCTACACTGTTTATTAATACTCGCAATTATATATTTATAATCTGCTATAGCTTTTCATATTTATAACCATACGTATACTTGTTCATAGCCTGTACATAACTTGCACACTCACTACAGTTAGAGCCTGTACATACTTATAGTATATTCATAACATACCT